AGCTCCTTGTAGACCTCCCATCCTCTGGAGATTCTGCAAGGGCTAAGATCAGCTGCAATTCCAGGCTTTGTCTACACGGCCTGTGTGGGCACGTGCAGGAGTATCAAGGCTCTAGAGCATCCACAGTGGACACACAACCAGATGCACAAGAAATGGAGGACAGACTGATATGAAAAACACACACTGACGCCCTCAGCCACACACACACAGAAGCACACACAGAAGCACACACCCCTTCACACTTCAGGCTCAGGGACATCTTCCCAGTAGCATCCAGTCTCATTGTCAACCACCCAGGCAGAGAGGTAGGAGCCAAGTAGGTATTCAGCAAGACAGTAACTGGAGGCCTTCACCGACACACACCACAGTCACTCTGAACCAGCCCAACATCCGGAGAGTCAGGGATACCACTCACCATGCCCTTCAGTCACTGAGGTGCCACTGCTATATCCACTGCCTGCTGAGGACAGTCACAGCACCCAGTTTGGGGGCATTGGGAGGCCACATGCAGCCAATGAACGGTGGCTGCACAGTGAAGGCCCCCCGTGGGCACTGTCCACCATGTATGTAAGTGCCATGTGGCCCCACTGTGTCCACACACACAGGGGGCTGTTTGTGTGCACGGGGAGGTGTGTATATGTGCACACTGTACATCCACATGCCAGCACTCCTATACACTTACCCCTGGGGCTCAAGGGGATCTGGACACCTCCCTCCAGACCAGGCCCTCCCTGGTGACCCAGAAGTGGCCCAGGGATCCCCACGCCCGCATGACTCACTTAGGAGAGGGGTACAGCCGAGGTAGGGGAGCTAGTTCAGGTCAGACAAAAGTTGGCACGAGAGGCCAGTCAAGGCTGGGGAGGGTTGGGGTATGCGTAACACTCAGAAACCCAGACCCCTAAGCGGGCATGGCTGGAGACCTTGTGTTCACCCAACTGAGCACAGCACTAATCCCCCATTGCAGGGTCCGCTCTGTGCAGACCCCTTCCCTTCATGAATGGGAAGACTGAAGGCTAGAAGCTCGTTAAGGGTGGGGCCCATGTCTGTAATGCTTCTCGGGTTCTTCAATGCCTAGCACAGAAGCTGGCACAGGCCTCCAGCCATGGACAGGGACCTCAGGAACAAGGGAGCTGGGGATGTAAAGTTCAGACTCAGGTCAGGGGGCGACAGAGACGAGCAATTACACAGCTTCAGATGGAGGTTCAGTCTCTGACTGCCCTAGCCAGGCAGTGCCAGTGTGATCTTGCCTCACACCCACAGTCTTGGCGTGGAGGGGTAGGGGGTAGCAGACAGACCCAGGGCCACCACCGCCTAGCCTTAGATGGTACATGAGGTCAAGGTTCCTCTGGGTGCTGGTCCTTGACCTCTGGGCCCCCTGGTGGACAGGGACTCAAGATATTTGATGCAAGAACAATGAGGTTCTTACCACCTGGCACAAGTAGAGCCAATCACCACAACAGGCTGAAGTGGAAAAGTGAAAGATTTATTGAGTATCGATACCCAAGGAGACAAATCATTTCTCTAAAAAGTCTGTCTCCCTGAGAAAAGGGATATATAAGCATGATTATAAAGGAAGGTGGGTGGGAAGGGGGTTGAAGATCTCTTGGGCGGCCAGGAATGTCTTTGTTCTTTGCCATGGTTACCCCGGACTCAGAGTCTCTCTTCCCAGGGTCATCTTGCTTCATAGACTACAGTCCTCAGCAGAAACCAGTCTTGGGAGAAGGTTATGCTTAGAAGAATGTATAATTTGAAAATAACAAATGAAATAAATTGTGAGTTGGGTGAAGATTTACAGAGCAAATTCACTTTCCATACAGCAGTTTACATATACTTTGTCTCATGACATTGACCACAGTTTACCACAATGCAACAGCTCCCCTCCCACTTCCTCCCCATA